ATTTTCCAAAGCATGCCCATTTGCCTAGCCTTCTTCGGCTCTTCCTCAGACCCGTGGAGCCCCCCTCCCCCGGGCCCCATGTGGGGCCTTGGAGACATCACTATCGGGATTGGCGTATCTTTGGAGTAATCATTTTCGTTGCGTTTAATCAAACATCAAGTTTGGTCTTGTTTAATTGTACCCAGTGGCCAGCTCAAAGTGTTAAATAAGTCACTCAACTCAGGCAACCAAAACATAAAACAGAAAGAAAAACGAAACGTCAGGATGACATCTATGAATACGACGCCATTGTTCACTTATATTGCATCTTTGTTTTTCCTCTTCATCCTTGTCTCCAGTAATTAACGAGGAGGACGAAGAAAGAGGAGACGCTCGCCAAGTGAAAGTTTGTCATCAGAATATTTCGCTGAAAACTTAAATGAGAAGAGGCGTATGAGAAAAACTAGGTAAGAAGAACTCACTTATGACCGATCTCATGGGCCACAACGTAGACGCTCTCAAAATGCCTTCCTTCGTTCACCGTGCAGCTGCTTGTCAATGTGCACATTCCAGCGACCGGGGCGAGACCTGAGATTCATTTAGAATTTAGAATTGAGGAAGCCCTATTTACGTCTAGTTATTTACTCTTTTTAATGTTAAAAACGTAATGAAAAAAAAAAAAATTTAAAAATTTAAAAAAAAATCTATTAAACCTCGAATTTTCAATGAATCAAAAAAATTACATGTCAAATAAAGAAAGATGTTCCAAGGATCAGGCAAAATAATTGAATATCCATCCAGTAGATCCTGTAAAAAGGTACATGAAGTGGTTTGATTTTTATATTGCGGACATTGGCACAGCCGGTTCCCTTTAAAAGTATTTCTCAAGTGAACTGACCTGAAAAGCAAAACGTTTTGCGTTATCCACTAGGTATACGTACTTTTCGAGTTATTGCGCTAAGTACTTCTCGGTCAAATTTGTGTACCTGATACACAGTGAAAATCGGATATTACGACATCGCTTGTAATGACCTGTCGGTCATGACGACGAGCGATCTGGTCGTACCCGCGATTGACTTCCCATTGACTCAGTGTATTTGTTTATCGGTTTATAACGACAATCGGATATAACGACCAAATCAGGCTGGTCCCTAGAGGGTCGTTGTATCCGATTTCCATTGTACTTTAATGTAATGTGGTGCGTGGAAATATCTAAGCAATATTCCAAAATCCAGAAATCATCAATTGATCGATCGGCTATCGAATCGTTCTCCATAGTAATGAGAAACCCCTACAAAGGGTAGGAACAAAGAAGGAATCTTCTGGACATATTTACTTACCAACAACTTGACTGCTAAGCTTCCCATTTTTGCTAAGCACGTAAAGATCTAAGCCTGTTAGAATAAGTGCGTGATCCCAGTGCAAGGGATCAGCATCCCCGACCGGGTTTTCACTTTTTTGCCAGGCGCAGAAGTTTCCCAAGTAAGTGTCTATATCATGAGATCTAACTAAGCCTGCTGGGTCTGCGTACAATATTTCGAGCCGTTTCATCACAAAATTCACAGGCCAACCCAGTGATGAATCGTGGTATAAAAGTTGAACCTTTGAAAGAAATATATCAAATAACATTTAAAAAACACTGAAAATGTATAATGTAAGAATCTAAAATCAAGTCTCTTGGTTATGATCATTTAAATGTCTTAGAACCAAAAAGAGAGCTTTGCACAGAGTAAAACAATATGATACGATAAATGGACTACATTTTGCAATTTGGAACTATAAATTCTAGCCCGGTTTAAAAATAACGTATGTGCAATTAGTTTCCCTATGCACGGAAGTGTTTTTCCAGAAGAGCCAGACTTTATAGTTCCAAATTGCAAAACGCAGTCCAAATGAGCCTCACAATTAGTAACGGTGAACATGCTTCAAAGTTTACTTAAAAATTCCTGATTAAGTAAGTTTTATTGAATATTTGTGTGGCAAGCGTCGGATATTTTCCTATGATGTGCTGTAGCAAAACCACAAAAAAGGTACTCATTTGAAAGCCAGTGGTGAGGGTATCAATTAATTGGAGGGAATGAGTGGAAGTAACACTCGATCTGACTTCGTGTTTGGCAATCGCATCATGTGGCAGAGGGAAACCTTGTAAGGGCTTCGACACGGCGCCTCTCTTTCGAGAATATCGATACTGTAAGTTCAAAAGTGCATATCGATGGTGAAACTGCAGAAATGCTTATCTCGGTTTGCAGCATTGCAAATTTCGTATCATACTTTATTTCCCACGTGGAAAGGTACTTAACATGGGCGTAGCTAGGGGGGTCCTGGGGGGCCTGGCCCCCCCCCCCCC